ACACCCATCCCTGTGTCCCTCTCATCTCTCAGGACACAGATCTCCTGGTGACCTCCAGCTGGCCCCGACTGACCTCCTGTTTCCTGCACACAGTCCTGGTCTACGTGCCGTTTGCCTGCCTCTGGTGTCCACTTCCGGTCTACCTCTACCGCCTGATCGCCGCGGGGCCCAGACCGCTGCCCATTTCCTGTCTCAGCGTCTTCAAAATGGTCAGTTTCTAAATTAATTAAGAGTTTTTAAATTGTTCAATACACTTTCTTTTTACCATTAGTTTCTTTGACCGGCGCTCGTGGTGTTAATAAAGAGTTTTTAGATTGTTCAATAACTTTTCTTTTTACCTTTAGTTTCTTTGACCGGCGCTCGTGGTGTAGCGGTTAGTAGGGCTGGGCAATGAGTCGCTTTAGCAAAATCCGGATACTATGTTAGTGTACCTCTTCGACAAATAATATGATATGAACCGCTTCGGAGCATGGGTTAGAACCACTTCGACAAGCAGGTAGCATCATTTCAACAAATGGGTGCACCCGCTTCGGGAAACGGATCAGGAAAAAAGAGAAACAAGAGTCTGAATTCGGATAATGTTTCATTGAGAGTCATCCGGTTATCTTTATAGATTATCCGGATTTTGCCAACCTCTAGCGGTTAGGCACACAGTGGACCCAAGTAAGTTCGATTGCCGAACGGGGGATATTTTTATTGGGTATCTCAGTCTTTCTTTCCACTGAGGTGTTGTATCCTTCTCAGTCCGGGTTGTCATTGACAGGCAGGGTGGGAAACCCATCTCCTCTCCTCTATGGTCTAAATTGTGCAGATGGAGGTGTAAAACACCCACATTAAAAATAGTTTGGGTTTGCTTTTTTCACCAAATGAGCTCCAGTGAGTGTCGAGAAGCGTTATTTTTCCAACTGCACAAGCAGTAGTAGAAGAAGCAACAGCAAAATATATTATACAGAGAGACCAAAAATTTAGCTAAAATTTTAACTACAATTCCATCATCATTATCATCATCATCATCATCATCATCATCATCATCATCATCATCATCATCATCATCGTCAGTATCATCATCGTCGTCGTCCTCGTCGTCGTCGTCGTCTTTGTGTTCAGTAACTTCACCAAAGTCTGTATGAATGAATACGTTTCTCTTTCCATTCATGCCATTCTTGCTTTCTTGGAAACACGGGGTTCCCTGCAGGTCGACAGCTGAAAATTTAATGTCAATGGGTGGCTATGGTCACTTAGCATTATTTGAGCCATTTTTTGAAACGTGTGTCTTGTACCTGAAATAAAACACAACCTTGTGATTCAGAAGCAGCGAGGAAACCACAAACCCTCACAAGAAATACAATCTGTGCCAAGAATAATTTATAGACCACGACAGGAACTCGGTGCTTTAAAAAATAATTTACGCCAAAACTTTTTTTTTTTAATGGAGCTAGTAAAAAATAACGCTAAGCCTGCGAATTCACTAAAGTCTCACAGCCCCTTTTGGATTGGATGATCTCTGCCCGACGCTGCCTTCTCTTCCTCCCTTTTCCTCTTCTTTCCTTTACTGCTCCCCCCCCTAAAAAAAAATTTAAAAATGTTAGCACCAATTCAAAAATTTTGTCTCGGCAATTTCTTCGACCGTGATTATTTTTGTTTTGCTGGGTTGTTGTTGTTTTTGTTTTTTTTAAGTACCGTGTATGGTGGAGTGCACTTTACACAACTTTTCCTCTCTTCACCCAGGTGAGAATGGGTACCCAGCGACAGTGAAAGATCTCGTCAGTTTGTTAGTGTTCGAGCGCTTAATCAGCTGCTTGCACTGTTAGCTTCCCAGGAAGCTGAGAATGTTTCTGAGTGTTCTATGGTCTGCTGGGGTAACAATACAGTGTGTAAAGCGCCTAGAGCTTGCTGTCATTAAAAGTATTATCATTATAGGGATTGAACCCTGTTCGTTCTGTGAACAAGACAACTAAAGGCCCCAACTATGACAGCGCAGATCTCGGTCATGGTCTTGCTGTGTCACCGTGTCGCTGAATGTGTTACGGATGACGTCACTAATGGTGGAGTGGGATTGATGGGCACGGAGAAGACTTCAGAAGATTTACAATTTGCATAATTCCGTGTCACGTGGATTATGTTGACAAGGTTCTTATTGGTACCGCGACGTTTAAGCATTTACTGTTGGGTGGATGGCGGGTGCTCTGGTATGGTGTACTCCTCTTTTCCTACCAAAAATCTGTCGTTCTCAGTTGTAAGAATTAATGCAGAATACAGCAAATACAAGCAGATTAGGTGGGTCGTTGGCGAGTGCTTTGGTGTCGTTGTGCTTCTTCATTCCTATCAAACATCTATCGTCTCTATCTCCCCTCCTTCTTTTTTGTGTTTGTTACTCTCTTGTAACACCTCTAATCTTCGACATTTATGTGACCTTAAAGTGTTGCAAGTGCCGTAAAACACTTACTTAAACTAAAACTAAACAAGCAGATTAAGAAAAGAGGAAAGAGGCAAGGATACATCAAAGATGCGCCATGTCACCAGAACTCTAATATATACAGTGAAACAATCCATAGAAATTTTAATAATGATAATAATAATGGATTGCATTTATATAGCGCATATCCACTTATGCAATGCTCTATGCGCTTAACATGATAC